AACTTTAATTAAATCCATTTTGGGTTTCTCTCAGCCCTGTTCCCAGCTCGCCACTCAAAGACTAAATGTAGCCTTTACTTGGAAAAAACTGCACTTTTCTGCATTAGAGAACTGTAAACGCAAATGGCATCTAACAAGCAGAATTTGTTCTGGGCCTAGCAAGAGCCAGAAAGGTTTGGGTTTAAAGATGGGAGAGAAGTTTGTTCAACTTTAATGCAAACTGGGCCATTTCATGCTTTCCAAACCAATACACAAGCTTAAATGTAATTATGTATTTTTTCCATATTTTGCCATGCAATTCAGAAATTGTAAAAAAAAAAAAATTATAGAAAAACCCACACAAAAATGCATTTTGCACAAAGATGCTTGGGAGAAATACACCTATCAGCATGACAGAATATACTGGATGAAAGTGTGTACAAAAATGCACACATTAGGAGAAAGTAATGAGGAACAGGGGAAAAACGCACTCACGTTTGGAAAAAACGGGAACCCAAACAAAATGAAACTTTGCATATTTTGGTATCCCTACCAGTAGTTAGAAGAGGATTTGGATCATAGGGATCTTGTGTGATTCTGTTCATTGGATCGACTGGGCTGAAGTAAAATCCTAAAACTGAGCAGATCCTGCCCTCTATCTTGTTTAGCCATGAAGCGGAGTAGATCTTCCCATATACTTCATATAAGTCCCATATAATTCATATAATTCAGAGGACTGTGGTCAGAGCATCTGTGGTACACGTGGGTGAACAAAAATCAGGATGGTGCCACAATCATGCAGTGGAGCCCCACCCACCTTTTCACATGCAGTGTGTATGTAGCTCTGGGATTGCGCCGTTGCACCATCTTCAATTCTTTTGCGCGCACACACACACACACACACGGAAGTCTCTGGCTGTAAATGTCCTCAGGAAGCAGTGAGGGGGTATATATATTTCCCACAAATGAAAAACTGACTGCTTCCGTTGGATATCAGGACATGACCCCACCACTTGTGCAATGACATCATGATGCAGGTCATCCTTTAGAGGCCATCAGCCTTGATAGAGATGCCTTGTTCTGTATCCTGTAAAGCACCATGGCAAACTGACGATGCCCATCTTATAACCAGGAGAACTGTGAGTCTTGAAATTACAAGATCCCTGGCATCAGGGGGCTGATCCTTTTACGAAAAGGGCTCTCCAGCCACCCAGCGGGATCTTCAGGCTTTCTAAAGCCCCATTCAACATTCCCTTCCTTTCCATTACCTGCTTGCTGTGCTTCAGTATGGCCTGCATTTGTCTTCCTGAAGCTGTTTTAACAAAGGCATTTATATTTGCCTTTGTTCCCTATAACAGACGAGGCTGTTCAGGGTTGAGTTTTGTAACTGCAGTTGAGTTGCCTAATCCAGTCAATGAACAACATAAAGAAAAGAAGCCACAGAGGGACCCTAAGTGACACACAGAATCTTTATTAATATTGAAGAATAAACACTATCCCAGTAGCCTTCAAAAGTAATGAGTTTCCTTCACACAGAGTATGTAGATCAGTGTTTCTCAACCTTGGTCACTTTAAGCTGTGTGGACTTCAACTCCCAGAATTCCCCAGCCAGCATGTGGGAGTTGAAGTCCACACAGAAGATGATAAGGTCTGGAGGAATCCAAAAGAGCCATGGCAGTTTCTTCTCACCAGGACAGGACCTAGAAGGAAACTTAAAACAAGCTACTAGTCCCATTGATGGTTCATTCTGGCTAGAGAAAGCCACCACAGCATAACAACATTAAACCACAGGGTCAATGCAGCCTGATCCTTCCTTGGGGTGGGGTGGAAAGACCCTCAGTGCATTAAAAGCTAAGCCATGTTAGGTTTCCAAAGTCATCCAAACCACACCCACAACTCAACCACTGGCCTGGGATTGCCAAAGTGATGATCAAAGATGCTATGCTTAGCTCTTGGCCAGAAGAACAGACCACCGGGCACCTTCCCCCCCCCCGCCTCCTGAATGGATGCTCTAACAAGAGGAAAACCAACTTGTCCTCATCCATCTACAGCAGCAGCTGCAAAATTGGCAATTTTTTATTGTCTTCCAAAAGGAATTTCTGTGAAAGATTACAGCTTGAAAACATAGAACTCAAACTTATCAGGACCTATGACTACTCATTCAGGAAGAAACAAGGACGCCAGTCTCTTGCCTCATCCAACAGCCCTGTGGTCAAGGACCCTGCAAACATTCTGCATTCCTTTAAAACAGTGTTGTCCAAACTTGGCCACTTTAAGATGAGTGGACTTCAACTCCCAGAATTCCCCAGCCAGC